TTTTGAAGAACATTTATAAAAAAAAAAATTAAAAGAACGTCCAACTAAAATGTTACATAAAAAAGTTCCATGCCAATAATGTTTTTTTTTTTTTGCTTAGGTTTTGAGAACATTATTAAAGACCAGATTACTTTGAATGGATGTTCTATTAACGTTACTCAAGGAATCTTTGTTCATAACTTTAAGAGAACCTTTCCAGAACATGAGCCAAACTTCTGAGAACATTCCCTAGCTGGGTATATACCTCAATACCACAGGCTAATGTTCTGGTAGGGTTCTCTCAATGTTACAAACATTCTTTTAGTAACATTGATAGATTGTTCATTCAAAGTTAACTGGTCTTTTATAATATTCTCAAAATGTTAGCACAGAAATATTGTTTATTGAATGTTTTCTCTGAAACAGTTTAGTTGGACATTAGTGTAACGTTTTTTAAACATTACCACACTGTACAAAAAATTCCGTAAAATTTACTGTAAAAAATACAGTAGCAATGTTTTAGGTTTTACCGTTTTAACTTAAATTTACAGTTAAATACTGTAATTTCATTAATTGATATAATGTTAATATACCAACCTACTGAAGTACTGAACTCTGTTTTGTACCTTTGTAATACACTGATAACCACCAAATGCAGGTGGTGAGGAGAAAGTCACATGATGAACCAAAGCCCATCACAAGCAGCTTTGAAATAATAACATATATAGAAGGTGCACAGTGTCATTCACACAAACACTAAACACCATCATGGTAACACACATGAAACTGAAATAATGCAATAAACATTCATTTAACAACATTAGGTGTAACACACAACCCTAATATACAAAACCGATAAGAAAAAACTAAGAAGAAACATAGTTATTTCAACAAAAAAACATCAAATTTGAAATGTAACGCAGGGAATTCTGGGAATGTCAATTTACGGTTATTCACTGTAAATTATACAGTCTTTTTCACTTCCAAAAACAGTATACTACCGTAAAATTAATGTCCAATACAGTTTTTACGTATCTTTTTCACTTCCAAAAATGGTATACTACCGTAAAATTAATGTCCAATACATGTAATGTCCAATACAGTTTTTCACCGTATATGGTAGGGGAATTTACCGTTAACCATTTAACAGGTTTTTACTGTAGCATTTTTACAGTCTTTTACCATTAAATTCATGGTCATTTTTTACAGTGCACTTATTAGTTTCAGATGGTTCAGAGAACATTTGAAAGTAAAATTCCCATAATGTTTGCAAAATTCTAAAATGGAACATTCCCTTAATGATGTCGCTAACATTCACATAATTTTAAAAACTTGATGTGTTGAATGTTCCAAGAATACTCAGACATAACGTTTTCATAACTTAATGAGAACATTAGCAAATGTCGGAGACAATTAGACCTACAGTCAGACAGCTAAATCCGTCTGTAGTGCAGTTAATAGATCTTACTGTCAACACTGTACTGAATGAGTACCATATTTTTTATTCAACAAAGTATTTGCGTGGTATATAAGGAGAACTATGTTTTATTCTTGCACCAATGAAAAACAATTTGACAGTTTCTCTGAAAACAAGAAAAAATTCTGTCAAACTCTCAAGAAAAATTCTTTTCTCAAGGATGCTTGGATGTTTTTCCTGGAAAACAAGACAAAATGTAGTGAAACACGACACAGACTTCTTCTCAATTCAGTTAACAGCCTTACATAAATGTTCTGTGACATCTAATGCCGTTGCTGCTGGTTTATGTAATGTTGCTTCTGGTCACAGAATCCCTGAGCCACGGCGGCTCTTCACCCAAACACGCTGTTTTACATTAATATTGTGCAAGTTTGCCTTCAGCATTAGTTGCAACATACGGGTCGGGACACATTTAATGCCTAAGTGTATGTGTGTTCATACACAGAATGGTTCAGAAGAAGTGCCAGTCCAACGAGACAAATATTCCTGCATCCCCGAGGGAAAATGCCATACAAAACAGGAGCCCAAGTGCACAATTACACAACAACCTACAAAATGCAACCAAACTGAGAGAAAAGCACTCATTGGAATGGCAATGATGTCACTTTGATGATAATCAGAAAAATATCAGATGATACAGAGAAGAGCAGCAGTATCATGGTATCACCTGGTAAAACCACATAGGCCTACTTTGGAAATGAATGATTACCATTTCCATATACCATGGTATTTACATGTACCTCCATGGTATTTGAAGTACCTCATAGTAGGCCTATTGCCTATTAAATGGGTCATTTGGCACCAAAGCACTAAACGATTACAGGGGTGTAGATTACGCGGCGGACGTGTCCCCCCCACTTTTAATATAACAGGAGCCCAAGTGCACAATTACACAACAACCTACAAAATGCAACCAAACTGAGAGAAAAGCACTCATTGGAATGGCAATGTCACTTTGATGATAATCAGAAAAATATCAGATGATACAGAGAAGAGCAGCAGTATCATGGTATCACCTGGTAAAACCACATAGGCCTACTTTGGAAATGAATGATTACCATTTCCATATACCATGGTATTTACATGTACCTCCATGGTATTTGAAGTACCTCATAGTAGGCCTATTGCCTATTAAATGGGTCATTTGGCACCAAAGCACTAAACGATTACAGGGGTGTAGATTACGCGGCGGACGTGTCCCCCCCACTTTTAATATCACGTAAATTCGTCCCCCGCACTTTTTCGGGCAAGTGTGTTCGCATAGAGGTTTTCAAGAGCTGGTGTGAATAAATATAGATTTAAATTCAAAGAGACAGGATAGTCTGTGCATGATCTGATGTTTTATTCGGACCCAGAATAAGGCGAGATGAACATCACGGAGCGCTAAACATTTCATGCAGTGTATGTCTCATTCATACTCGAAGCCGGAGGCGCTCTCTCGCAGAAAGTCATATGAGGAAATTCCTAATATGGACAAAAGCGTCCAGCTATCGCTGTATGAAAACAGTTGTTTTCAGAAAAACAGAAACGTTTGGAAACATGAAGAAATTAAACATACGATTGCGACAATATATGGTTTATTTGTGTTTGTCAAGTCATCTCCAGGTAATAAATAAAGTATATGAACAATGCAGTGCTAATTGACATACCATTTATTACAGTATAGAAACTATTCTGCCTTATGTGATGATAAAAAAAGTGTTTGTAGTATATAAACAAATCATTATTATTGGTTATTGTCCAGCAGTTATCTGATTTCTAAGCCA